GCATATCTTTTGGAGACACGGGCAGCCAAACATAGGAATAGTCTTTGGTATCAACCAGTCAAACAAACAGAGCGGCTCCTGATGCAATGTTGCTGCAGTCCTACCAAGGTCACACGCATCCATTTGGGTACCAGACCCCCTTTAGTTTTCTAAAAGGAATCACATAAGAAGCCACCACCGCTCTTCAGTACTTACAGCTGCTCCAGAGAGTGGAGCCCCTTGAAGGCATGCTGCTGGATGCTCTGGATCTCATTTTTATACAGGTAGCTTTGGAGAGAGAAGGAAACAGAACCACATTAAGCACTAGGATACTTTGTCATTTGGTGCATTTCAGGGGATTAAAGAAACAGTGGAAAAATACAGCTGGAGCTTTCCAATTAATATTAGCAGCAATGCATCAATGGCATCTACACACTCGCAGCTTACAAAAGCATGTACTTGATTGCTAGTGGTTAGAGAGGCTGTTAGGTCTTATCAGGGTTAGGAGCTAGGCACTCACAGGTATTTCAAGTTCTCCAGATCTTCAAAGGACCTTCTTGCAATTTGTTTGATCAAGTTATTGTTCAGTAACCTGTTGAAAACCAGGAGAGAAAGCACAACACATGAATATAAACACTCCTATACTTTGTCTTTAGTTCTTCAGTTGCAGAGAGTTTAAGCCCAGAAGGGACCATCAGATCAAAGCTCACTGGATTATAACACATTGACCACTACAGCTTCATCCTGACAGGCACTGAGTGCCTCTTAACATGGGATCATACCCAACTTAAACTAAGCCCCATGTCATTTCTTTGCCTTGTGGCACCATGGGTGTATCTACATGTGCATTAATGCGCTTTTGTTAACGCGCATTAAATCTAGTATTGCCATTATGAGGTACTAGGAAAATGTGCTTTAGCCTATCTTAATGAGCATTAACTCAAGAGCATGGTTTTTTAGTGACCCTTAAAGTGCATTAGCTTGTTTTAATGCACATTAACAAAATAGCACAGCTTTTAAAGTGATGCTTTACTGCACTTTAAAATAGGCTGAAGAGCGTTAACGTACATGTGTAGACGCGCCCTGGCTTTCACTGCAGCACCAAGCTGCAATCTGTCTTTTTAAAAGCGTTTTGTGTCCTGCTCATGGACAAGAGTCAATGCTGGAGAGCAAACCTCCCAGGTTGAGAGTGATGAGAGCAGAACACACACAGAGCAAATGAACATGTCATTGCATCGAAGAAAGGCAATGGTAATAAACACGGAGCAAATCAACATGTCACTACTCCAGCTAAAAATAGTGGTAATAAAACAAATGCTCCTGGGATCCAATTGGTTTCCAGGCAGAGGTGGAAAAAAAAGTGAATAGCAAAACAAGCACAGGCCAGCATGAGGTGATTTAGAAATGACTCTTAGGACTATTTCAGGTCAGTGAGCGTGGTGCAAGATTTCAATACAAAACCTATGGATGACAGTGCTCCAGCCAACGAGCATCTGATTTGCATGTGCAATCCCCATGATTATGCATGTAAAAAAAACCATGCGTGTGCCAATGAGCACAGAGGCGGGTTTCATTTAGCCATTACCCAACTGGTGCCTGCAATCGTGGTAAGCACGTGTCTAGGTGCCGTGGGATATTTCACCGGCAATTGCCGCCAAGCCTAACAGCGGTGAAACTGAACCAATGGCTTATGAACAGCTCTTGAATACAGACGGTCGACCCATTCATCCTAGCTGCCGAACTGCCTCTCTCTGAGCCTGTCGCTCGTGCTGTTTGCTGATGCTCAGAAACTGGCCACTCTTGGAGTAGCCACAGGATGGAAGAAGTTAGCAACACGAAAGCTCAAACTGGGGTAATACCCAGGCCCCAATTCTCAAAGCTCTCCACGGATGGGACCCCGAGGAAGAGTCATGCTCTTTCTTTGCCTGCCCTGGTGATCTTCTCTGGCAATTATGCTCTTAAAAAACCCACAAGAGCCATTGCCTCCTGCAGGGTAGCTTGTAGGAATAGGGCTCAGAGATCTCTCAGTAGGGCCCTGGTGTTGGCAACCCCTGCTGGTAGAGCCTAAAAAATAATGGGCAAAGCTCACTTCTTGCAAGCAGCGATCTCCAGAGGGGGTGAGCAATGCTGGGCAAGCCAGAGAGACTCGTGCTTCTTGGCTGCAGGGGTGTCTTAGAAACCGCACTCGTCCTCTCTGCAGGAGCTGCCCCCAGCTACAGAGGAGAAGATCTGGAGAGAAATCAGCAGCGAAAGCAAGACAGAAAGGAAAGGGTGGAAGGTCAATACAGAAAGATGCTGGGAAACCTCTCTCTGCAGCTGGAAGCAAGGCTCAACACCCTGGTGTTGGCCGAGCAGCTGCTTCTCCTCCCACCTCCCTGCAATGATAAGGTCCTTGAGACAGCCTGTTTCTAGTGCCAGCAAAGCTGAAATAAAAAAAAAAAAAATAGCTCCTGAATGCTCAACAATTAACCTTGCTGCTAACGAGTGCTGGCAAAAGCAGCCCAGGCAGACATCACTGTCTATTCGCTCTCCTGGAGTAAATGCTGCAAAGGCAGCAGCAGCATAAGCATCCCTCAGCTTGAAGGACCAGCCCCAGGCATGGCCGGGCCTCTGGGTCCCCAGGGCTGCTTGATCCTTGGCCTCAGTTGAGACCACCAGATGGGATGGCAACGCATGCCAGCTGCGATGCCATTTCCATGCCTGCCGACACCTGTCTGCTAGCAACGGGACTGACGTCAACCACCCATTGCACACAGGCAGCCAGACAGCTGCAGGGTGGTGCCATCCCTTTGAAGTGGGGACTTTTCTACCCTGGGCACAGACAAACAGTCAATTTGCACTGAACTAAAAGGGAGCAAGACCTATGGTAACCAGCCATCTGTCCCCTCCTACTCTGTGGTAAGCGAAGGCTAAATCCGACCTCCTCGCTCGCTCCCTGCAGCTGGGCTGTTTGTCCCTATCCAACGCTCTGTACAGCACCTGGCACAACGAGCCTCTAGGAATTAATTCAGTAATCCTAAAAATTTGAACCTGGACTCAATCCCACAAATGAAACCCTTTCCATGACCAAACCCAGCTGCTATTTTCAAAAGGTTAACCCATCCGTTTCCAGGAGATCAGCCACGAGGAAATCTGCTCAAGGCAGAGCTTCCACCAGCAGGATCATTCATCCCAAGCAAAACCAAACACCAGCCCTCGGGAAACAAGCCACACACACACAGAGCAAGAAGCAGATGCAAGAGGCTACAAGCCCATTCCTTAAATACATTTAAAAAAAATCCTCTAGATACCTGATGAGAGCTTAGAAAGTCATTGGAAGCAGAAATATCTCAAGCCTTCCTTGTGCTTTAGAAGAGACTCAAAAGCCAGATTTATTTTTTCCTCAATTTTGAAAGCACATCCCCTTTCCCTGACAAGCAAAGCTGATCCAAGCATGCAAGAGGCAGTGAATCAAAAAGAAAGATCCTTCCACACTGCAACGGTCCTTGGAAACACAAGAGCTGGTGCAATAGCAGCACTTTATTTTCAGAGGGGGAAAATACTCATTTCTATGGTCTACACAACATGATGCAAGGAAGTGGAAATCTTCGGTCAAGAAAGCTACCTCCAGAGAGAGATCAGGATATAAGACCACTTTTCTCAGTCCTGCAAAGATTTTAGGTGTTTATTCTGCAAGCTGTTGCATGTAAAATACTCCCAATTTCCAGGCATGTCTGCCTCTGTAGAACAGTTGGTAAGAGCTGCACCATAGCCCCGTTTCCATGATGGGGCTCAGGTTTTCGACCAGTCTCCCCACTGATGTGACTAGCAAAACTCCCAGGCTCCTACCACCTTCAGATGAGGGTGGAAAGCTCCCAACAAGCATCGGCTGAGGGTGAACAGATCTATTGAGAGTAGATATGCCAGAGCAGATAGGGTGGGATGATGGGAAGGACCACAGCAGGAAAGAAAAAAAAAAAAGAAAAAGTCTATTTACACTTACGAGTTCTTCAAGCTAAAGGCCAAGTGTCAGGCCTACAACATGTCAGTAAATTTTGCACCATATGCCTCTAAAATATGTAAGCGGAGACACCAACAACATGGCTCCTATTCCTGCTCCAGAAACGTAGATGAGACCCCTCATTGTCTAAGAGAAAAAAATCAAGCGGCCAAAGGGTTTTTCCTCCCTTATTTGCCAAGCACAGATAGAAGAATACTTTAGACAATGCTTCTTGTTGCAGTTTGTAAAATCAGTAGTGCTATTGTTCTTTGATGATGCAAGAAGAGTGATCTTGGACGTGGGTGTGCACTGCCCTTCTCCCCATTCAACAGCCCATGTACTACTATCACGGGGGCATGCCATTTGTTTTTCTCCTCTCATTTACTGGCATGTTCGAGAAGCAGAGAAGGGAAATGCCATAAAAATATTTACTCAAAAGCCGTGTTTCAGGGATGTATTTGGTAGCCGTGTTGGTCTGAGACAAAAAGAAATGCAAAGAGCTCTTGGTTCAGAGGCGATACCTTTTATTACACCAAATAATACACTGCAAAAAAAATAAAATTTTAAAACACTGCGATTTCTTAGTTGGTCTAATAAAAGGTCTCTGAACCCAAATAATCTCTGAACCAAGAGTTCTAGATTTTTGCATTACTCAAAGCCAGACTTGCTTGTTATGCCTATCTGGAGAAACTAAATTTGTATTGAAGTATTATTTCAATGTGCAGCCAGAAATTCCCTTTTACTGACAAAATGGTTTGGAACAGCCTGTTCCCAAGCGAGATACAAGAAACACTTGGGAGACTGATTTCAGAAAGGGCTTCACAGACCAGCCTCCCAACTAGCTCCGAGGAACCATGCTGGGCTATGCCTTGAAGTGGAGACAAAAACGTGCACTTTCCCTGATCCTTGCACAATAAAAGGATTTATTCTGAAACCCACAAGCTCCCTCCAAAGCCATTTCTCTCTCTCTCAGTGCTTGTCATCCACAGCTTCCCAAGCAAGCTAAAAAATAAATGAGCAATGACACCCCCTTGGGCCCCCAAGTCACTAGGGAGGTGATGACAACTGGCCAGAAGCACTATGGATCCAAGATTGCCCTCTTCTTGAGATCTCTTGAGCATATTATAACCTTTGTAGCAGCATGATGCTGGCTGTTGTGGTTCCTCTGCTTTACCTGGGGCAGGTTTGGGTGTTGTGTTGTGGCAGGGTGGATGGTGTAGTTTTGCTAAGAGGTTAGACACTAGTTTTGTAAGGGATGGTTTAGATAGGGATGATCCTGCTTCAGACAGGGGGTTGGACTAGGTGTGACCTTTGGAGGTCCCTTCCAGCCCCATTTCTCTAAGGGCAGAAGGCACAGGGGCTATGATAGGAATTGGATGGTATAGGTCACCAGCCACTAGTCATTAATACCTCCACAGTCTTGACACTTGTGCCACTCCCTGGAAATACCATGGGAAACCTCGAGGCAGCTGTATTAAGGAGCACACGTGCATGTCTCATAACCCCAAAGGAGGGTCGCCAAGCTCAAATTCGTTACCAGTACAGGACTCCAGCACAAATGTCAGAAAGAGACAGCGGAGACCTGCAGCCTTTCAGGAGGCTCCATAGGCAACTGTTTCTTTCGGAAGTACTGCTATTAATCCTATCTCCTGCTCCATCACCTGTGCTGAATTGCAATGTGAAAACCCCTGCAAGACTAACTAATTTGTTGGCTGTTTATGCAGCTGCACAGTGCTGAGCCCCACTGCACAGCTGGGGGCCAGTCACACCCGACGGGGAGATGACAGACATGCAAACCTATCATGGTAAAGGTGGGACACGAGCCTAAGCACAGGTCTGCCAGCTGCTTTCATTTCACTTGGGTTCAGCTCGAGCTAGTTTGGTAGTCCTGCTTTGCTCCCTGCCAAGCATCTCTCTGCAGCACAAAACCATGACATCATTTGGATATATATATAATTTTTAAACTCAAGAGAGTTTTAGGGTCAGACAGCAGAGTTCAGCAGGTCTGGATGGAGGCACATTGCCACACTGCACAAATACAAATCGGCATCTTTGGAATAAGATGTACCCCTGGCTAAGGTCTTTCCACCTCGGTTTATCCAGCCAGGCATTTGTGCTCCACTTATTGCTGAATCTGAGCCCTTTGAAGAGTGACACTATACAACTCCACCCCACAGCCTGACCAGCATTTATCTTTTAGATCCGTTCCCACTCATCCCCCCAGAAATATCTGCAAGATTATGAACCCTTGTCCCAGTATCTTGGATAAAGACCTTTGTCCATTATGATGCTGGCTAAATTAATGGATCTGTTATGACTTTGTTTTCTCCTATCCCTGCATAGGACTGCTTCATACTATTGGCCTTGTAGAATAGGTGCCCCAAGTTACCCAAAACGTGGTTGAATCTCAAATCACAAGATCACAGTACATGACCTGCTGAACATCACTGCATTCAAATCCACGTGTCATCACTGTGATAGGATCTGCTCTCATCATGCCCAACTTCAAGGTCGCATTGGGAGTCCTCACTTTCAAGGGAGCTAAATGCAACTACAATTTGACTTTAAAGCAAGGAGGCAGAGACAGACCGATCACCATGTCTGGTGCTTTGGGAGTTTTTATTGGCTCATTCAAGCAGAGCTGACAGAGTTGCTGCAATATAATATACCCGAGTTACAGGGACACCCATCACATGGGTTTCCTTCCAGTCTGTTGACTCAGCTGATATCAGCTCTGCTGTCAGGGTTTGACATCCTGCAGGCCAACTGCATCAAGCTTAGAGTTGCTCCGCAGAGCCTGAGCAAATTTGGAGGGTGAAGGAAACATGACTGAGAGCTGGGTGGGGGGAAACCTTAGCACGTAGCTAACACCACAGCTGCCTGAGGACTCATGCACCAAAACAGAAGAGAGACTCCAGTGCAACACCATGTTGTACAAGCAAAAAACAACCCTGGGGCACAGCTGTTTCCACCACCGGATGGACTCCCAAACTGGTTGCTGTTGTCGCTCGTATTTGCAAACAGAAGCTGGGACTTTGAGCGCTCTTGATGCTCCATCCAGATGCACAAGGGATACAGACAACCTCCAAAACCCTTACCTGGTGTCTTCCTGCCACCTTCCCTTCCTCACTTTGTCCTCTCAGAGTTTTGGCCTCTCTCGAAGTCAGGCTGCAAAGCTAAATCAGGGCTCTTTGTATGCTCAGGATAAAAAAAAGCAGATTCCTGGCCACGATGTCATTTGTGCACCATGAGCTCATATTCTTTACAGCAAAGGTGTCTAACAAGTCCCTTTAGTTTGAAGCAGAAGGTTGTTAGCGGATTATTCAGAAGCAAACTCCACTACAGACCTTGAAAAGAGAACGGTTTTCTCCAAGAGCAAAGAAAATGGAGCTCCCCATTCCCGACTGTTGTAACCAAGTGAGCTCCGGCATGAAGTTTGCAGAACAAAAGGTCGAGTGTTATTAGAAACCAGCGGGCTCTTAAACGCAAAGACGTGAGCTGTTCTGGTAGCACCCAACTGAGGTCAGCCTGACCCAGTGAAACAAATGGCGGGGTCTGCAGAGATTCAGAGGTCAGACTATAGGGAGGACACTATTAGGACTCCTACTACATAGGGCAGCAGACAAGGATAGCTTTGGAGTAAGAGTATTGGGTGCTCTGCTCTTCATACCTGCATCAATGCAATTGCTTAATAGAGTATTCGGATCCAACTTCTTTTTTTCCCTGCACATGGAGTGATAACCAGGACTAGTAACATAAGCACTGCAGTCGCTTACTGCTACCTACTCTTCATATCATTCAGACGTCTCTCCTGCATCGGGTACCCACAATTGCCTAAATGAAGGAACTGGCTGTTACGCTGGCACTGAACCATGGATGGCTGTGCCTATAAAACCTAGATTGTCTCAATTTTCCCCGTTTTCAGAAGCACAGGACTGCATTACAACTGGAAGGCCCTTAAGAGGGGGGACAACTTACAGTGTGTTGAGGTTCTTCAGTCTCTTGAAGGCTCCAGGCTGGATCGCTTTGATGTGGTTGAAACGTAAATCCCTGAAAGCAAGAAGATTTCGATCAATGCATGCCTGACAGAAAGATGATTTATGAACACGTCATCATCAGCGCTTTAGATTTCCACATGTGAAACCTAAAGGAGCTAGCAAAAAGAAGGCAAAATATCTTTTCAGAAGGTAGCACTATATGCACAGGATCCTTTTCTTAAGCAGATGGGCAGCTGCCAAGTTTTGAAAGGAATCGGGCAATTAATTTGTACACAATTACCTGGTCACAAATAGTTGGAGCACTGAGATGCCACGTGCCATTAACAAGCGTACTTGCTCGGAGGTGCTACCTTGCACATTCAAATGAGGCAAAGCTACATAAACCATACCCTGTTCCTTTTTGCTAGGGTACCAGCTGACCTGTGCTTTTATAGTCTTAGAAAGGGGACGCGGCATTTCCAACCTGAGTTTGAAGGGAACATTTTCAGTGGCAGCTGCATAGCAGCACCCATCTAACCCCAGACTTGCATGCAAACTCCTGCATCGTGGCCTCAAGCTGCAGCATGGGAAATTTAGTTTGGAGAAAAAGGAACTTTCTGACTAGGAGGGTGGTCAAGCATTGCAACAGGCTGCCTAGAGAAACTGTGGCATTGCCATGCTTGGAAGTTTTGAAGAGCAGGGTGGACAGACACTTGGCCGGGACGGTTTAATCAGGGATGACCCCCCCCGGAGCAGGGGGAGAGGACTACATAATCTCACAAAGTCCCTTCCAGCCTGAGTTTCCTATGATCTTATTCCTGCATGCAAGCAGTCTGCAAAGGCATGTCCCAAAATAGAGATGCACGTGCAGGGCTACCCAGGTGTGTAGACAGCTTTGTGGACTTGCTCTTTCAACTCCAGCCAATTTTACTTCTTTATTTTGCCTTAAAATAGTTCAATCTGGCTGACTGGCCTCATGTAACAGGCATTTCTTATCCTGCTCACAAATGCTCCGAGAATCAATGAGGCTTATTGCTGTCTCCATTTCCAATTTATGCCAACTCCAATTAGAGTGAGTCCTGGGGGTGTGGGGGATGGCAAATGTAAAGGGGGGGAACTACACTGACATGAAGTCTAAAACTATAGTCTTGATTGCTAATTGGATAAAAGCCAAATGACTTAACATGTTTGACCAAGTAGAAAACAAGGCTATAAGAAATGTCTGCTGACCCAAGTCCCACTATAGTGCAAGCTTTTGCAAGACAGAAAACAACACGCACGAAATGAAAGACCCCACCACAACCGCACACCACCTAAAACAGAACAAGGGTGAAGAAGATTTTGATCTTATTCTGTTTGCTTTAGTTCACGCTTCAAGGTTCTTTGGGTAAATCTGATATCTTTTATTAGACCAACTCAAATAGTTGGAACAATTCTTCTTTGCAAGCTTTTGGGTATAAATACCCTTCGTCAGGCTGAGGAAGCATCTGCAGTTGGTGCTGCCGTCGGAGAAGCTTCACGCATTTCATTCCTGAAGATTGCATTGAATTTTTCCCCTTAAACGAACAGAAAAAATGATTTGCATGGATTTTCAAGCATATGATGTTCCAATAAGGGGGCAGGGTAAGCCTTTAATTTCAAGTGCAAGTGTCAGATCCCCTGAAATCCTATTTACAGAACTTAAAAATATGCTAGAACCTCAGAATTTTTTTTTTCCTGATGATACTTCCATTGAAAAAACAAGGAGTCGGCGAGGTAAGAATTTGTTGTGGAAATGAGAAGTCTGCCAACACGTGCGAGTTTTTGTGATGCTTGGATGAACTGTAAACCGGGTTCGGTCTGGGCGGTAATGATTCAACTGGCAATTTGTGGAGGTGAGTGAATTTTTTTTACGAACATTTTTTCCTGCTGAAAACTGAGGTTTTATAAAGCAATCAAATACCAAAATCCCTGGAAAATAACCTTAGATTATATGTTACTTTTTGATAGAACATCCCAGACTAAAAATGCATGTCTTGATTCAATCAGAAATTTCAAATTCTTGCCTTGTGCTGTTTTTTCCTTTTTCCCCTCTGAACCCAATACAACGACTGCCATTACATTGAAAACCCTCCAAACTGAAACAACTTGGAATAGTTTAATGGTTTTCCAAAAACTAATTTGCTGGGTTTTGACCCTCTCTGCTGATGTGCCTGATGTTTAATTATTGCATTGCTCAAAATGCAGAAGGCAGGGTAGATGTGCATCTTTATAGACTAACTGAATAAAATATATAGGCTAGCTTGTTCAAAATGCACTTTCCTCCATATTGGCTGCAAAATCGGCTTATGGGTGATTTTCTATACACTATTGTCTTGATCTTATGAATTTGGATGATGCATACCGGTCCGGGTGATGGTAGACTCCATACACCTGAATAAAAAGAAGGGTGGCATTGCAACTCGTTTGCTATTCTCTATAGCCTTGCTAAGAGAAAGTGAGGAAAGGCTAGCGGTGAAGAAACGCTAACTTGATGGACACCTTGTTGCATGCACATAAAGGCCTCATTCCCCCAGGGGCCTGCAAGGAGCTGTGTAATTTGTCCAGGCAGCTGGCTACAGGTAACGGGAAATATAACAAATAAATGGAAGGAATACGTCAAGGTGCAGGCCGAGTCGGCTGGCGCTTCAGAGGGACAGCGGGAAGCAATCAGTGAAGTGTAAAACACGGTTTAGGTCAGACGGTAATTTAGGTCAGACAAAAAGATTAGAAACAATTAATTGGTTCTGGTCAACACAACTAAATGCTTTCATCTTGCAGTATGCCTTCCTCCCTCGCTCTCCATCTCACATCCCCTTGCTCCAAATCGAGCTCCTTGCAGACACCTCCCTGGAAACAATGAACCAAGTGAAGGTCTCAGCCACCCATGTCCCCTTTTCACAGCACAGCACCACTGAGGTTTTCCCTTCACAGTCTCTAATTCCCAACGCAAATCCACTCTGCTTTGCAGTCGAGACCACACGCTGACCCTGGTCCATTGACCTGCGCCAGCCCGTGAAAACATGCGCGAGATCCTGAGCTTGCATTGCTGGCGCCCCGGCCGGCAGACTCCTGGGAATGCAGAAACTTGCTCCGGTCTCTACGGTTGGAAAGCAAGAGCCCCTTGCTTGGCTCTGCAGCTAGCAACAGACCTCATGGACTTCCAGCAACAAAATGCTTCTGGAAAAAATCAGTCCCTCGTTTCTTATGGGAAGAGGCTGCTGCATAACCACATTCATCTCTTCCAGCTCCTGGGCCAACCCAGCAAAAACACAAGTAATATGCCTCCCAGGTGAAAAATCATGAGGTCACCCGCCAGCAAAACATTACATAGCCCAGGACCCCACTATCCCACTGTTCAAATCCAGTTTAGTTTGGCGTCAGCCGCAATCGAACCCCTTCATACAACGAACGTGTCATGAAGACAAAAGCACTCGGAACAATATTCTGCATAAGCTCGCCAACTCCAAACGGGGAGTTAGCCCCTCAGCCACCCAAACCACTGCCCTGGCTCCCAGTTTGTCCTGTGCCAAGCATGCATGCCCTGCGTAGGAGAGATCTGTACATGCGAAGCACCTTGACCCCTTTCTGAACGATAGCTGCCGATGCATCGCAGGATGCCTGCAGCCGACCAGCCTAAGGAGCACGTACCCGCTGGTTGGCATCGCCCCGCCTGACATCAGAAGAGCAGTGGCCGGCGGGACAGAACAACTGAGACAAACTGAAAATGTAAGACGCCTGCCGTGCAACCATCCAGCAGCACACAAATGTCTGAATTTGCTTCCTCACCAGCACCCAAACTTCACACCACAGCTGAGGAGACATGACTACAGATGCAGGAGAGGCGAAGAAAATACCCGACGGTGAAAAAATGGACATTTCAGCAGCCGAGCCCTTACCAGAGGCTAACCAGCCATGGTTATAACCACTTACATACCGGAGTCGGATGCTCCAAGGAATGAATGAAGTGGGCCAATACCAGGGGTTCAACCCCTGCGACTGCGGCACAGCCTCAGACTATGCAACACCTGCTGCTTGAAGGCATGGGTACAATGAAAGACTTTGCAAAGCAGAATAAATGAACAAAAGCATGTGGAAAATGGTCAAATGTGGTATAGACACATGAGAAGGACTGCTTCAGATGGGATTTGCAAATGAGTTCAAGGGGGCTGGAGCCCACAGTCAACTGCAAAAAAAGAATCAGTGAAAAAGTTAGATACCTAAATTTCCTTATGCCTCCTTGAAATACCCTGGGGGAGGCTCTCTCCACAACATGCCTTACTATATATTATATCTCCCTTAATATGTATAATAGTACATACAACACCCATAGCATCTAAGGCCAGGGCAGACAAGCTGGAGACATGATGTCTATGCCTCAAAACTTACTGTGCGAACAAGCATTCCCATCCCCTTCACTGACCTCTCTCTCCCCATCTTCAAGA